GTGTCCGTCTGTCCCTGTCCCCGTGTCTGTCTGTCCCCCTGTGTGTCCATGTCCGTCTGTCCCTGTCCCCGTGTCCGTCTGTCCCTGTCCCCGTGTCTGTCTGTCCCTGTATGTCCCTGTGTCCGTCTGTCCCTGTCCCCGTGTCCGTCTGTCCCTGTCCCCGTGTCCGTCTGTCCCTGTGTGTCCGTCTCCCTGTGTCTGTGTGCCCGTGTCCGTCTGTCCCTGTCCCCGTGTCTGTCTGTCCCTGTATGTCCCTGTGTCCGTCTGTCCCTGTCCCCGTGTCCGTCTGTCCCTGTCCCCGTGTCCGTCTGTCCCTGTGTGTCCATGTCTGTCTGTCCCTGTATGTCCATGTCCGTCTGCCCCTGTGTGTCCATGTCCGTCTGTCCCTGTGTGTCCATGTCCGTCTGTCCCTGTCCCCGTGTCCGTCTGTCCCGCCGTGCGCGCGCCCTGCACCGCGGGGGCGTGGCCGGGGCGGGCCCTCATGGCCACGCCCCCCGAGGGCCCGGCGCGGCTGCGGCCGCTGATTGGCGGCAGCTCGAGGGGGCGTGGCCAAAGCTTCGCCCGTGCCCGGTGCGGTTCTGTCCCGGTGTCTGTCCCCGTCCCTGTCCCCGTCTGTGTCCCGGTCCCGTCCCTGTCCCGGTTCCGGTTCCGGTCCGGCTCGGAGGCGGCCCGGGATGGCGGCAGAGGCGGGCGGCGCGGCGGAGAAGCGGCGGATCCTGTGCGTGGGGCTGGTGTGCCTGGACATCATCAGCGTGGTGGAGGCCTTCCCAGCCGAGGACTCGGACACCAGGTACCGGCAGCGGGGCTCCCGCGGCGTCCCGGGGCCGGCCCCGCGCCCAGCGCCGCCTCTCGCCCCGCAGGTGCGTGTCTCAGCGCTGGCAGCGCGGCGGGAACGCCTCCAACTCCTGCACGGTGCTGTCCCTGCTGGGAGCGCCCTGCGCCTTCATGGGCTCGCTGACCCCCGGGCCCGCCGCTGAGTAAGTGGGGTGCGGGGCTCCCGCACCGGCGGGGCAACCGGGCCCACCCCCCTGGCACTTCACTGGCCCCTCCGCGCCGCTGCCCTCGGCGCGCTGCCCGCCCGCCGTTCCCCGCCGCCGCCGCTCACGCCGCTCTCTGTCCCCCAAAGCTTCATCGCGGCGGATTTCCATCGCCGGGGGGTGGACACGGCGCCCGTGGCGTGGCAGCCCCGCGGAGCCGTGCCCTGCGCCGTCTGCCTCGTCAACGCCGCCAGCGGCTCCCGCACCATCGTCCTGCACGACACGTAAGGGCCCGGCCCCTGCCCGCGGGCAGCGCTGCGCTCCGCCTGCTCTGTTCCGAGGGCCGCCCCGCTGCCTGCCCGGGGCTACCGGATGGGGCGAGTGGCCGTGATCCCGCGGACACTGTCCCCGCAGCCCTGTCACCGCCGGTGCCGCTGCCGGGACTGGGGGTGGTCTCCACACGGCCGCTCCGCAGTGCAGGACAGCCGGCACGGCCCCGTGGGGATAACCCGGCTCCCTCAGCCGTGCCGGAGGGTCAGGGGCTGTGGGGCACGGCTGACCCCCAGGGCACAGCGCGGCCACCGCTGCGCTGCCCTTCGAATCCAGCTCAGTGTCCCCGTAAATGATTCACCCGGGCAGCGCCTCCCCGGGGACCTCTGTCCCGGTGGCGTGGGGCCCTCCGCGGCCCCGGGAGCTGCCCTTCGCCCCGGGCGCGTGCCAGGCCGAGGGTCCCCATCTCCCCCCTGGCCTCCGTCCCACAGGAACCTGCCTGACGTGACAGCCCGCGACTTCGAGCGGGTCGACCTCTCCCAATACAGGTGGATCCACTTCGAGGTGAGCCCGAGGCTCAGCGGGCTCTAGGGTCTGCGGGACCCCCGGCGCTGGGGAAAATCCCTCGGGCTGTACGTGAGCCTGGGACCGGAGGGAATCCCTCGGTCTGGGGGACATCCCCAACGGGGGAGCATCCCCGGGGCCGAGGGGCCTCTCGGGACCGGCGGTCCCCCGGTGATGCCGGAGCCGTTCCCTGTGTGTCCATGTCCGTCTGTCCCTGTCCCCGTGTCCGTCTGTCCCGCCGTGCGCGCGCCCTGCACCGCGGGGGCGTGGCCGGGGCGGGCCCTCATGGCCACGCCCCCCGAGGGCCCGGCGCGGCTGCGGCCGCTGATTGGCGGCAGCTCGAGGGGGCGTGGCCAAAGCTTCGCCCGTGCCCGGCGCGGTTCTGTCCCGGTGTCTGTCCCCGTCCCTGTCCCCGTCTGTGTCCCGGTCCCGTCCCTGTCCCGGTTCCGGCTGCGGTTCCGGTTCCGGTCCGGCGCGGAGGCGGCCCGGGATGGCGGCAGAGGCGGGCGGCGCGGCGGAGAAGCGGCGGATCCTGTGCGTGGGGCTGGTGTGCCTGGACATCATCAGCGTGGTGGAGGCCTTCCCAGCCGAGGACTCGGACACCAGGTACCGGCAGCGGGGCTCCCGCGGCGTCCCGGGGCCGGCCCCGCGCCCAGCGCCGCCTCTCGCCCCGCAGGTGCGTGTCTCAGCGCTGGCAGCGCGGCGGGAACGCCTCCAACTCCTGCACGGTGCTGTCCCTGCTGGGAGCGCCCTGCGCCTTCATGGGCTCGCTGACCCCCGGGCCCGCCGCTGAGTAAGTGGGGTGCGGGGACTCCCGCACCGGCGGGGCACCGGGCCCACCCCCCTGGCACTTCACTGGCCCCTCCGCGCCGCTGCCCTCGGCGCGCTGCCCGCCCGCCGTTCCCCGCCGCCGCCGCTCACGCCGCTCTCTGTCCCCCAAAGCTTCATCGCGGCGGATTTCCATCGCCGGGGGGTGGACACGGCGCCCGTGGCGTGGCAGCCCCGCGGAGCCGTGCCCTGCGCCGTCTGCCTCGTCAACGCCGCCAGCGGCTCCCGCACCATCGTCCTGCACGACACGTAAGGGCCCGGCCCCTGCCCGCGGGCAGCGCTGCGCTCCGCCTGCTCTGTTCCGAGGGCCGCCCCGCTGCCTGCCCGGGGCTACCGGATGGGGCGAGTGGCCGTGATCCCGCGGACACTGTCCCCGCAGCCCTGTCACCGCCGGTGCCGCTGCCGGGACTGGGGGTGGTCTCCACACGGCCGCTCCGCAGTGCAGGACAGCCGGCACGGCCCCGTGGGGATAACCCGGCTCCCTCAGCCGTGCCGGAGGGTCAGGGGCTGTGGGGCACGGCTGACCCCCAGGGCACAGCGCGGCCACCGCTGCGCTGCCCTTCGAATCCAGCTCAGTGTCCCCGTAAATGATTCACCCGGGCAGCGCCTCCCCGGGCACCTCTGTCCCGGTGGCGTGGGGCCCTCCGCGGCCCCGGGAGCTGCCCTTCGCCCCGGGCGCGTGCCAGGCCGAGGGTCCCCATCTCCCCCCTGGCCTCCGTCCCACAGGAACCTGCCTGACGTGACAGCCCGCGACTTCGAGCGGGTCGACCTCTCCCAATACAGGTGGATCCACTTCGAGGTGAGCCCGAGGCTCAGCGGGCTCTAGGGTCTGCGGGACCCCCGGCGCTGGGGAAAATCCCTCGGGCTGTACGTGAGCCTGGGACCGGAGGGAATCCCTCGGTCTGGGGGACATCCCCAACGGGGGAGCATCCCCGGGGCCGAGGGGCCTCTCGGGACCGGCGGTCCCCCGGTGATGCCGGAGCCGTGCCGTGTCCGCAGGCGCGGAACGCGGCGGAGCAGGGCGCGATGCTGGAGCGGGTGGAGCGGCACAACCGGGCGGCGGCGCCGGGGCAGCGGGTCCGGATCTCGGTGGAGCTGGAGAAGCCGCGGGAGGAGCTGCTGCCGCTGATGGGGCGGGGACACGTGGTGCGGGAGCGGGGCGATGGGGCGGGATCGCCTGTCCCGGTCACCTGTCCCGGTCACCTGTCCCGGTCACCTGTCCCGGTCACCCGTCCCCATCCGCCTGTCCCGATCACCGGGCTAGGCCAGAGGCGTGGCGGGGGCTCGGTCGGGACGGGAGCGGTCAGATCTGCGGGGAGCACGGTGCAGCGGGATTTGGGAGTGGTGTTCCGGTGGAGTCCGGCTCGGGGGGTGCAGGGGTGGGGGGTTTGGATCTAGGGGTGCAGACAGGATCTGGGAGTTCAGGCGGGGTCTGGGGACACCGCCAGGGCACAGATCTAACCGCACCTGGCTGGGGGTACCGGGGGCTGCCCCCGCCCCAGCCCCTCTCCCGCAGGTGTTCATCAGCAAGGACCTGGCCCGGCACTTCGGGTACCAATCGGCCCCCGAGGCGCTGCGGGGGCTGCGGAGCCGCATCCAGCCGGGGTAGGGGTCTACCTGAGAGGGGCCGGGGGGCACACGGTGTGCCCCAGACCCACCCCGCACTCCCCCAGGGCCACGCTGATCTGCGCCTGGGCTGAGGAGGGGGCTGATGCCTTGGGGCCCGACGGGGAGCTGCTGCACTCGGACGCCTTCCCCCCAGAGACCCTCGTGGACACGCTGGGGGCTGGGGACACCTTCAACGCCGCCGTCATCTTCGCGCTGGCAGAAGGTGGGCACAAACGTGGCACGGCCACAGCACGGCCACGGTTCAGTTTGGCACGGCCACGGTTCAGTTTGGCACGGCCGCGGCACGGCCACATCTCATCCTGGGCCCCCTCCCCAGGGAGGAGCCTGCAGGATGCCCTCACCTTCGGCTGCCAGATCGCGGGCAGGAAATGTGGGATCCAGGGCTTCGATGGCATTGTCTGAGTGTGCGCCTGGAGAGCTCTGCAGCCTCAGGCACAGCACTGCACCTCCACATCTCCACCGCACCCAGCCATCCCCAATAAAACCCCTGCGCTGCCCTTCGAATCCAGCTCAGTGTCCCCGTAAATGATTCACCCGGGCAGCGCCTCCCCGGGCACCTCTGTCCCGGTGGCGTGGGGCCCTCCGCGGCCCCGGGAGCTGCCCTTCGCCCCGGGCGCGGGCCAGGCCGAGGGGCCCCATCTCCCCCCTGGCCTCCGTCCCACAGGAACCTGCCTGACGTGACAGCCCGCGACTTCGAGCGGGTCGACCTCTCCCAATACAGGTGGATCCACTTCGAGGTGAGCCCGAGGCTCAGCGGGCTCTAGGGTCTGCGGGACCCCCGGCGCTGGGGAAAATCCCTCGGGCTGTACGTGAGCCTGGGACCGGAGGGAATCCCTCGGTCTGGGGGACATCCCCAACGGGGGAGCATCCCCGGGGCCGAGGGGCCTCTCGGGACCGGCGGTCCCCCGGTGATGCCGGAGCCGTGCCGTGTCCGCAGGCGCGGAACGCGGCGGAGCAGGGCGCGATGCTGGAGCGGGTGGAGCGGCACAACCGGGCGGCGGCGCCGGGGCAGCGGGTCCGGATCTCGGTGGAGCTGGAGAAGCCGCGGGAGGAGCTGCTGCCGCTGATGGGGCGGGGACACGTGGTGCGGGAGCGGGGCGATGGGGCGGGATCGCCTGTCCCGGTCACCTGTCCCGGTCACCTGTCCCGGTCACCTGTCCCGGTCACCTGTCCCGGTCACCTGTCCCGGTCACCTGTCCCGGTCACCTGTCCCGGTCACCCGTCCCCATCCGCCTGTCCCGATCACCGGGCTAGGCCAGAGGCGTGGCGGGGGCTCGGTCGGGACGGGAGCGGTCAGATCTGCGGGGAGCACGGTGCAGCGGGATTTGGGAGTGGTGTTCCGGTGGAGTCCGGCTCGGGGGGTGCAGGGGTGGGGGGTTTGGATCTAGGGGTGCAGACAGGATCTGGGAGTTCAGGCGGGGTCTGGGGACACCGCCAGGGCACAGATCTAACCGCACCTGGCTGGGGGTACCGGGGGCTGCCCCCGCCCCAGCCCCTCTCCCGCAGGTGTTCATCAGCAAGGACCTGGCCCGGCACTTCGGGTACCAATCGGCCCCCGAGGCGCTGCGGGGGCTGCGGAGCCGCATCCAGCCGGGGTAGGGGTCTACCTGAGAGGGGCCGGGGGGCACACGGTGTGCCCCAGACCCACCCCGCACTCCCCCAGGGCCACGCTGATCTGCGCCTGGGCTGAGGAGGGGGCTGATGCCTTGGGGCCCGACGGGGAGCTGCTGCACTCGGACGCCTTCCCCCCAGAGACCCTCGTGGACACGCTGGGGGCTGGGGACACCTTCAACGCCGCCGTCATCTTCGCGCTGGCAGAAGGCGGGCACAAACGTGGCACGGCCACGGCACGGCCACGGTTCAGTTTGGCACGGCCACGGTTCAGTTTGGCACGGCCGCGGCACGGCCACATCTCATCCTGGGCCCCCTCCCCAGGGAGGAGCCTGCAGGATGCCCTCACCTTCGGCTGCCAGATCGCGGGCAGGAAATGTGGGATCCAGGGCTTCGATGGCATTGTCTGAGTGTGCGCCTGGAGAGCTCTGCAGCCTCAGGCACAGCACTGCACCTCCACATCTCCACCGCACCCAGCCATCCCCAATAAAACCCTGTGTGCGCCACTGCTGCCTCCTGTGTCACCTGGCTGTGTCCCCCTTGCCCTGGCTGGGGTCCCAGTGCCCCGGACATGCACTGACCACAGCCAAGTGACCAGCAGTGCCTCTATTTCTCCGTCCGATGAGTTACAGAGGAGACTACTCCACCCCAGCCCTGCTTGGCCCCAGCAGCCTGGCCAGGGGCCATCCCCCTGCCCCTGTGTGCCCTGAGCAGGGCAGGGAGCAGCCAGGGAATTGCATCCCACAGCCCCCACTGCCTACCCCTCCCCATGGTCCCTCCAGGCTGGGGCTGCCTGCTCCTCAGGGGCTTCAGCCTCAGGGGATTCCTCTTCCTCTGTGGCATCAGTACTGGGGGCTTTGGCCCCAGGAACGATTTCTGCTTCCAAGGCCTCAGTATTGTGAGATTCCACCTCGAGGGATTCCATCTTGAGGGCTCCATCCTCAGAGGTTCCAGTCTGGGGGTCTCCAGCCTCAGGGGCTCCCTCCTCAGGGGCTCCAGTCTGGGGGTCTCCAGCCTCAGGGGCTCCCTCCTCAGGGGCTCCAGTCTGGGGCTCTCCAGCCTCAGGGGCTGCCTGTCCTGGGCTTTTCAACTCCAGGTCCTGCCTTGGCATCTCTGTGCCCTTGCCAGGCACAGCTCCAACCCCTGCCTCCTGCTCTAGTGGGGGCTGTCCTGGGGGACCCTTGTCCTGACCAGACAAGAGCATCTCGGGGGGGTCCAGCAGCTCAGAGGGGTTCAGCAGCCCATCCCCATTCAGGTCCTGCCTTGCCAGAGCTTGATCCACCAGTGCAGCCACCTAGGGGGATGGGGAACGGGATGAGGGCTCGGCCCAGAGGCTCAGTGGGGCACGAGGAGCCATCCCTGCGGGACCCACCATGTCAGGGTCTGGCTGCCCCCCGGCCTGTGCCAGCACCGTGCCAAGTAACTGCAGCAGCTCCAGCCCATCCAGGTGCCTGCTCTGGTCGTGGTCATGGAGCACGAAGAGGTAGAGCAGGGCTGTGGGGCACGGGGCGCTGTGGGGCAGGGCTGCCTGGCCCCCCTAGCCCCTCAGCCCCCCATCACGCCCCGGTGGCCTTACCCTGCTCCCGTGTCATGGCCTCCACGTCCTGCTCCGGGGGCCCCAGGCTCCGCACGGCGCTCCACAGCAGCCTGGGGGGAGCAGGGCTGGGGTGGGAAGCACTGCACTGCCCCACGGCAGGCTGGGCACTGTCCGTGCCCCCCGCCCAGCCCTGGCCGTGGTGGGGGTCCCAGTGCTGTGGGGTCCCCAGGGCAGGGACTCACTGCAGTGCAGGCGACTCCGGGCTCAGCGGGTCGGGGTACGGATCCACGACTGCGGCCACGGGGGGCTCAGGCCTGGCCGAGAGACAGGGGATGGTTCCTGTGCCCCTGGGGGGCTGCTGCCCCCTGCCTGACACCCACGGCCCCTGCAGATCCACGGGTCCCAGCCCTCACTGTGCAGCTCGGACCCCTCTGCTCCCCTGCCATGGCCACCTTGCACTGGAAACACCACGGCTCTGCCTTCCCTTAACTGTGCCCCCCCAGTTCCCCAGACCTGTGTCCCCCCTGCACTGTCCCCAGACCTGTGTCCCCCCTGCACTGTCCCCAGACCTGTCCCCCCTGCACTGTCCCCAGACCTGTGTCCCCCCTGCACTGTCCCCAGACCTGTGTCCCCGTACCTGTTGGTGCCCGCCCTGGGGGCGGCCCACGCCGCTGGCCCCAGCAGCAGCAGCAGCGGCAGCGGCATCACCGGCGGCTTCCTCATCCCGCGACCTCGGGCTGCGGCGGGACGGGAACACCGGGGTCGGGGCTGGTCCTGCCGGGGGTCGGTGCGAGCGCCCGTGGGAACCCGGCGCTGGGAGAGGGGAGGGGGCTCCGGGAGCCGCCCCGGTTCCAGCACGGCGGGGACGCGCTCGCACGGCTGGGAGGGTGCTGGGAACGCGCAGCGCTGCCCACCCAGCGCAGCCCCCGGTACCACTCACCCCGCACACCAACCCGGTACCGCCGGTGCCCCCCGGTACCACTCACCCCGCACACCAACCCGGTACCGCCGGTGCCTCCCGGCACCACTCACCCCGCACACCAACCCGGTACCGCCGGTGCCCCCCGGTACCACTCACCCCGCACACCAACCCGGTACCGCCGGTGCCCCCCGGTACCACGCACCCCGCACACCAACCCGGTACCGCCGGTGCTCCCCGGTACCCACTGAGCCAGCCCCGTTCGCGTGTCGGTGCCGCCCGCCCCGCCCCGGGGCCACGTAGCCGACACGTCTCGGCCCTGCCACCGCGGCCGGGAGCGGCCCCGCCCGGCCCGGCCCGGCCCTGCCCGGCCCGCGGGGAGCAGGGATTCAGCCGCACGTAGGTGCCCCGGGGCAGCGCCGATGTAACCGGGACCCGGCCAGTCCAAACCGGGGTCCGGGATGGGCTCGTGGTCACAGCAGGGACGGGGCCACGCCGGTGTGTGAGACCCCCCGAGCCCCCCACGGTCCCGGGCGGAACGGGGCCAGCCCAGCGTCACCGAGCCCCGGGCCCCGCAGCAGCACGGCCGAGGGCCTGGGCCGGCCCGTGCCGGTACACACGGCCCCGGGGGCTCTGGGCAGCCAGCCCCCGACCGGCCCCGGAGCGCGATGCCCTCAGCCCCAGGCCGCTCCCCCAGCACACGCGGACAGCACTGCCTTCATGCTCCAGTTTAATGGCAGCAGCAGGGCAGGGGCCAGCAGGACCCCCTTGTCCTGGGGCAGGAGACGGCCCTGTCCCGGGCCAGCCCTGCACTGCTGCCAGCACAGCCCCACAGGGACGGGCCCTGCGGGCTCCCTGGACCCGCGCCTGCTCCCCGAGCGCCAGCGGGGACAGCGGGGCCAGGGCTGGTCCCTCGTGTCCTTCACAGTCTGTGTGGGGTAGGAGGAGGCTGGGGGGGTCGCTCCTGGTGCCAGGGGGACCCTCCGGGGGCTACAGGAAGCCTGGGAAGGCGAGCTGCAGCAGCAAGATGGTGGCCACGATGAGGCCGGCACAGAGCAGCAGCAGCAGCCAGACAGGGAGGGAGCCTGTGGGACAGGGAGGGGTCAGAGGAGGCTGCAGCCCCCCCTGCAGAGGAGCCGGGCCCCAGGGGCAGCCCCCCGGACGTACGGCGGGTGGGCAGCAGGTGCAGCTTGCAGCGGCTGTCCACGGCCACGCTGAGCAGGGCGGCCTCGTGGCCCCCCAGCAGCTCCCGCCCGGGCCGGCTCTCGGGGACGAAGGCCACGTCTGTCACCACGATGCCGTGGGCCTCCTTCACGTAGTACAGCCTCTGGGGGGACACAGGAGGTGAGGGGCTGCGGGGGCCGGCGGGGCTGCCCCGGCCCTGCCCCAGCTCACCTGCAGTGAGAAGGCAATGTGGATGGCCACGGAGCCCGTCACTGTGCCCAGCCCCAGGAAGGTGCCCGAATCACTGTGGGGGGAGGGTAGTGAGCGGGGGCTGCCACGGCCCCCACCCCGTACCCACTGGCCCTGGGCTACCTGATGGAGAGGCAGGAGACCACCTCGGAGCCGCAGGGCCGCGTCAGCAGAGGCAGGAAGCTCTTCCCATCCCACTTGGTCAGGTAGCAGGGCGGGGGGCGGCGCTCGCGCTTGTGGGGCACCTGCACGGTGTAGAGCCGCAGAGCCCCGGCGCTGCCCTCCACCGCCCCGAACCTGCCAGGAGAGGGATGTGGGGCACGTGGGACACGGCCCCTCACGGCCACCACTGCCCCAGTCCAAACCTGGCCCCAGCCCCCTCCCCGTGCAGCTGCCAGCAGAGCCCTGGAGACAGACCCCTTCCCACAGAGCCAGCAGAACAGGGCAGCAGGCAGGGGGGCCCCATTCCCAGCCCCAGTGGTGCCTCCCCACCTCCTGCCCCGTGACCCTGATGACCCCCAGCCCCACAGCCTAGCCCCATGCCCTGCCCAGCCCCAGTGCCCCGACCCCAGGCCTCTGCTCTGCCCCCAGCTCAGTGTGCAGCCCCCCAGCCCCATCCCCAGCCCTCACCGGCAGGCCTGGTAGCGATAGGCCTTGTCAGGGATGCCAGGCAGGTTCTCGTGCCAGCGCAGCCCTGTCACCAGCTGGTCCTGCTGCCACACGCAGCACTGGAAGTCCCTCCCCGCCGTCACCACCTGCTGCACACAGCACAGGGGTCTGAGGCCCCTCTCCTGCAGGGCAGGGAAGTGGGGAGCCCCTGACACCCACCTTGTTGTCAGGGCCCAGTGCGATGTCCTCAATTTCCCCGTCATGGGCTCTGAACTCCAGCGTCTTCTTCATGCTGGGGAACTGCAGGGGCACAGCTGGTGTGGGCACTGGGCAGGGCCAGGCCCTGCCATGGTCCCAAGCAGGTGTGGGGGAGCAGCGTTAGGTGAGCACAGGTGCTGTCAATCCAGCTGTCCCTGCTGCCATCAGCAATGGCTGCTCCTCCGTGTCTGTCCCAGCTCCCCCTGCCCACCCCTGTCCCTGTGCCCACCCTGGCTCCCCATGCCTGCCTGCCAACTCTCTGTCCCACAGCCCCACAGCTCCCCACGCCCTGCCCACGGCACCCAGCCTCCCTGCCCCACAGCACCAGTGTCTGGTACGGCAGGGCTCGGGGCAGGCACAAGGCAGTGGGGGGCTTGCACCCCCAGAGCTCCCCATGGCACCCCGGGCAGGCACTGGGGGGTCAGGGGGTTCCAGGACAGTGTCCAAACCCCAAATCTCCATGTAGCACCCTGGGCAGCCACAGGGGGCAGGTCCATGACAGTGATGGAGGGGTTCAGGGCAATGCCATCCCCAAGCCACCCCACAGACCCCCCAGCTCCCCCCCACTCCCTGCCCTCCAGTGCCCAGGGCAGGCACAGGGAAGGTCCAGGGTGGGCATGGGAGGTCCACAGCTGTGCCCCAGCCCCAAAGCACCCCACAGCCCCTCACACTCTGGCCATAGCATCTGGGGGTGTGGGGAGCCCCAGGGCAGTGAACCAGCCCCAAAGCTCACCATGGTACCCAGGGCAAGCACAGAGAAGAAGGGTCAGGATGGGCAGGCAGGGTAAAAGGCCATCCCCATCCCCATGCCACCCCACAGACCCCACATCCTGCCCCATGGCACCCAAGGGTGGGCATGGGGCTGTTCACAGAATATCTCCACAACACCCTTCATCCCCCCCGCAGCATCCAGGGCAGGCGGGAGGGGGATTCAGGGCCATCCCCAGAGCACAGCCCAGCCCGAGGGCAAGTGCTGGTGAAGCGGTGTCTCACCGTCCTTCCCGGCGGTGCCCGGAGCCTCGGGCTCCTGCAGGCTGAAGCGCAGGATGTGGCAGCTGTTGTCCTGCCCGGCGGCAATGACGTCCCCGGCCAGCGCCATGGTCATGGTGGCGCGGGTCTCGGTGTCGTGGCAGTGCAGCAGCGAGGCGCTGAGCTGCCCGCCGATCTGCTCCAGCTGCAGGAAGTGCTGCGGGCCGGGGGGCGCGGTCACGGCCCCGCCGCGGGGGCTGCCCGGGACAGCCGGGTCCCTGGGCACCGCACAGCCAGCCCCCCAGGCCCCGCCGTGTCAGACCCCCCGCCACACCCGGGCCCCTCAGCACCGCAAACCCCTCAGGTCCCACGGTGTCAGACCCCCCGCCACACCCGGGCCCCTCAGCACCGCAAACCCCTCAGGTCCCACGGTGTCAGACCCCCCGCCACACCCGGGCCCCTCAGCACCGCAAACCCCTCAGGTCCCACGGTGTCAGACCCCCCGCCACACCCGGGCCCCTCAGCACCGCAAACCCCTCAGGTCCCACGGTGTCAGACCCCCCGCCACACCCGGGCCCCTCAGCACCGCAAACCCCTCAGGTCCCACGGTGTCAGACCCCCCGCCACACCCGGGCCCCTCAGCACCGCAAACCCCTCAGGTCCCACGGTGTCAGACCCCCCGCCACACCCGGGCCCCTCAGCACCGCAAACCCCTCAGGTCCCACGGTGTCAGACCCCCCGCCACACCCGGGCCCCTCAGCACCGCAAACCCCTCAGGTCCCACGGTGTCAGACCCCCCGCCACACCCGGGCCCCTCAGCACCGCAAACCCCTCAGGTCCCACGGTGTCAGACCCCCCGCCACACCCGGGCCCCTCAGCACCGCAAACCCCTCAGGTCCCACGGTGTCAGACCCCCCGCCACACCCGGGCCCCTCAGCACCGCAAACCCCTCAGGTCCCACGGTGTCAGACCCCCCGCCACACCCGGGCCCCTCAGCACCGCAAACCCCTCAGGTCCCACGGTGTCAGACCCCCCGCCACACCCGGGCCCCTCAGCACCGCAAACCCCTCAGGTCCCACGGTGTCAGACCCCCCGCCACACCCGGGCCCCTCAGCACCGCAAACCCCTCAGGTCCCACGGTGTCAGACCCCCCGCCACACCCGGGCCCCTCAGCACCGCAAACCCCTCAGGCCCCGCCGTGTCAGACCCTCCCGGGCCCCACCGCCCCTCAACCCCCCCAGGCCCCGCCGTGTCAGACCCCCCGCCACACCCGGGCCCTTCCCGGACCCCTCAGCCTCCCGCGCCGCTCTCCCCGCAGCCCCGTCCCCGCTCCCCCGCACCACGCCATTGCGGATGCCGGTCTTGGCGGCGCCTCCGCCGCCGGCGGTGATGGCGAGCGGCCGCCGCGGGTGCAGGCGGACGGTGTAGAGCGGGAACGGCGCCCGGTACAGCTCGGCGGGACGCCGCGGCGCCATGACACGGACGTGACGTCAGCGCGCCGTGGCTTCACGCGCTGGTGCGTCACGCCCCGTTACCCGCCGGGGGTGTGGCTAACCGGGCGCGGGAGCGCGGGCGGCTCGGGGAGGGGGCGTGGCCGCGAGGTCACGTGGGACAGAGGGGAACAGCCCGGTGCCGGGGGTCACGGACCGGGGGATCCCGGGGGGACACGGGGACAGCCCGGTGCCGGGGGGACAAGGACCGGGGGATCCCGGGGGGACACGGGGAACAGCCCGGTGCTGATGGACAAGGACCGGGGGGACACGGGGACAGCCCGGTGCCGCGGGGACAAGGACCGGGGGATCCCAGGGGGACACGGGGACAGCCCGGTGCTGGGGGACAAGGACCGGGGGGACACGGGGACAGCGGGGAACAGCCCGGTGCTGGGGGACAAGGACCGGGGGATCCCGGGGGGACACGGGGAACATCCCGGTGCCGGGGGGCACGGACCGGAGGATCCCGGGGGACATGGGGACAGCCCCCTGGGGGGGAGCTGGGGGTCCCGGGGGGCAGCAGGGAGTTCCTCGGGACCCTGCAGGGCCTGTGCTCCAGAACCATTTATTGGGGAACACCAAACACGAACGGTGGCGGGGGCTGCGGGGCACTCGGCACCCCGGGGCAGGGCGGCCCCCGGGCCCGGGGCGGTGTGTAAGGCACGTGGCTGGGCCGGGGGTACCGCACGACGTCCCGGCCTGGGGAGGGGGCACCGCTCCCACACCCCCAGCCGTGGTCCCAGAGCCCCCGGGAGGGGCACCCGCCGATCTTCGGCACGCCCCGGCTGTCTGAGGATGCCCCGGCTGTCTGAGGATGCCCCGGGCAGGGCCGTGGCCGGGACCCCCGCGCCGGGGCCGTCAGAAGGAGGTTTCCTGCACGGCGTAGATGGGGGGACCGGCGCTGCGGACGTAGCCCTGTCCCTCGTCCCCCTGCTCGGGGCCCGGGGGGGACAGGCCGTTGGGCACCCCATGGCTCTTCTCCGCCGTGCCCGCGTGCCCGGGGGCCTGTGGGGACAGAGGGGGCAGGGGAGGCAGCAGGAGAGGCAGCAGGGGGGTACCCCCATGTCCCCCTGCCGCTGCGGTGCCGGGAGCCTGTCCCTCACCTGGGCAGGGTCGGATCCCCCGCAGCAGAGCCAGTGCCGGATTTTGGGGGGCAGGCAGCACAGCAGCCACGGCAGCACGGGGGAGATGGTGCGGGGGTCCAGGGCCGCCGCCGGCGTGGGGCCTGGGGGCACAGGGTGTGAGAGGGGCGGGGGCACCACGGCGGCCCCCGCGCCGCCCCACACTCACCGGTGAGCAGGCTGACCAGGACGCCCACCAGGATGACGGTGGTGGAGTTGTGGGCACTGTACCACATGTAGGACAGGCTGTAGAAGCGCTGCAGCCCCGTGGGGCTGGGGGACACGGCGTCAGGAGGGGGTGCAGGGCACCTCACGCCCTGCACAGCCAGCCCCCGAGCCCCCCGCGCTCACCTCGGGGCGGGCGCTGGTGTGGTGGGGGGCAGCAGCGTGGTGGCCAGGACGGTGCTGAGGTTGCCCACGGTGGGGAGCGCTGTGCTGTTGGCGGGGGGCACCCCCTTGGCCCCCGCTGTGCTCTGCAGGAAGCTGCCGATGCCTATCCAGAAGGCCATGGCCAGTCCGGCCAGCAGCCCCACCACGGCTCCCTGTGGCAGGGGACAAAGAAGGGCGCTGGTCCCCGTGCGGACTCAGGGTGCCCCACGGCACCCACACACCCACTCGGGGCTGGGGGCGCCGGCCGGGTCGGGGACACTCACGGTGGGGTTGGCGCAGGGGAAGAACATGCCCAGGCAGAAGAGCCCCAGGAGCGGGCCCCCCACCATGCCGAAGATGCTGATGGCTGCCTGCGGGGACACGGCCTTCAGCACCAGCCCCGTGCCCTGGGGGTGCCAGAGCCGGGGTCCCCACCCCGTGTGGGGTGCCAGAGCCGGGGTCCCCACCCCGTGTGGGGTGCCAGAGCCGGGGTCCCCACCCCGTGTGGGGTGCCAGAGCCGGGGTCCCCACCCCGTGAGGGGTTCCAGAGCCGGGGTCCCCACCCCGTGTGGGGTGCCAGAGCCGGGGTCCCCACCCCGTGTGGGGTGCCAGAGCCAGGGTCCCCACACCGTGTGGGGTGCCAGAGCCGGGGTCCCCACCCCGTGTGGGGTGCCCCAGCCCCGTGCCTACCTGCAGCACGGGTCCCAGCATGGAGGACACGTACGCCATCCCCAGGCACAGCAGCCCGTAACCGAGAGCTGGGGAGGGCAGCGGGGTGTCATGGCAGTGCTGCGGACCCCCCGCCACGCCAGCCCCACGGCTGCCCCCCCGGCCACCCCCCATTAAGTCACCCAGCAGCTTGGAGAGCAGCGTGGCCCGCGACTCCGACAGCCCAGGGAAGTGCGGCCGCACCAGGTCCTCCATGGTCACCGTGGCCAGCGAGTTGAAGGCGGAGGAGATGGTGCTGGGGAGGAGAGGGAGCAGAAGGGGGCTCGGCCGGGACACCTGAGCCCACCTGAGCCACCGCCCCAGGGCCGCCCGCTCACCTGAGGGCGCCGCTGAAGAGGCAGGCGACAAAGAGCCCGGGCAGCCCCGGCAGGTCCTGCAGCACGTCCATCACGAAGAACAGCACCAGCTGTGGCAGGAGGTCAGTGCGGGGCTGGGGGCAGCGGGGGACACGGGAGGGGCTCTTAACCCACCTGGTCAGGGGAGGCAGGGCGCTGGCTGGGCGCCAGCGGGTGCTCCAGGTTGTAGACAAACATGACGAGGCCCGTGAGGCAGCTGAGGCACAGCACGATCTGCTGGCAGGGGAACACGGCGTAGCAGGAGCTGCGGGCGCCGCGGGGCTGTCAGACTCGGGCGGCGGCGGGGGGCCCGCGGCAGGTGAGGGGACCCCAGCCCAGCCCAGCCCCACTCACAGCTTGGCCTGGCGCTCGCTGCGGGCGCACAGGTAGCGCTGCACCTGCGCCTGGTTCACCCCGTACAGCGACAGCATCATGAACACCCCGCCCACCGACAGCGACCAGAAGGTGTGGCGCTCCAGGGGGTTGGGGTCCAGGCTGCGGGGAGGAGCAGGGGGGGTCGTGGTGACAGGTCCTCACTGGCCCCCCCACGCCCCACGGGAAAGAGGGTACCAGGGATGGCCCGCACCGCCGCTCCGGGGTCCCTCTCCCCCAGCCAGGTGTCCCCAGAGCAGGACAGGGGGTCCCGGGAGATGGCTCACTCGATACCGGCGATCTTGCCCTGCTGCTCAGCCACGCGCCAGACACGGGCCATGCCCCCCACCCGCCAGGCGCCCACCACGATGACGGCGACCTGCCCCGCCAGCATCACCAGCGTCTGGAACACGTCTGTCCAGATGACGGCCTTCAGGCCACCCTGGTGGGGACACGGGACGCCCGTCAGCACACGGTGACAGCGCCCACCTGGCAGGGCAGGGGCACGGGCACCCGCGGCAGCAGGGACTCACCAGCGTGGTGTAGAGTGTGCAGACCAGCCCCATGGTCAGCACGGCGCTCCAGAGGTCAAAGCCCGTCACTGGAAGCGGCAGAGGACATTAACGGGGTGAGGGGCAGCAGCCCCCCGGCACGGCCCCACACCTGAGCTCACCGTACCTGCGTTGAGGGCCAGAGCAGGGGCGTAGAGCACCACCCCCATGTAGATGACCTGTGGGGAGGGAGAGCAGTGCTGAGCCACAGCCAGCCCCCCAAAGCCTGCGGCCCCACAGCCCCGGCCCCACTCACCATCTGGAAGATGAAGGTGACGGTGCCCAAGACCCGCACGGTCTTGTTGAAGCGCAGCTCCAGGTACTGCGAGGAGAGAGGTCAGGGCACCTGACTGCAGGGTGCTTTGTGCTCCTCACAGCCCCCTCCCATGTCCCCCCTGCCCTCCCCGTGTCCCCCTGCCCTCCCCGTGTCCCCTCTGCCCTCCCCGTGTCCCTCCTGCCCTCCCCGTGTCCCCGTGCTCACCTCGTAGGTGCTGGTGATGCGCAGCCGGTAGAAGACGGGGATGAAGATGTGCGCGGGGATGAGCAGCCCCAGGAAATAGGAGCAGCCGAGGAACCAGTACTCGGTGCCAAAGCGAAAGATCTCAGCCGGCACGCCCAGGATGGCCACAGCTGACTGGAAGGAGGCCAGCAGCGACAGGGCCACGGGCAGGCAGCCCATGTCACGGTTGGCCAGCAGGAACTCCTGCACCGTGCGCTGCCGGTCGCCGCTCAGGGCGTAGAAGAGCCCGATGGCCGAGGAGAGCACCAGCAGCAGGGCGAAGATGCTGTAGTCGATGGCCGTGAACTCCATGCCGAGCGTGTCCCCGCGCCGCCCCGCCGCTGCCCCGCCGCCCCGCCGGCCTCATGGGCGCACCTGAGCCCGGCAGCGCGTCCCGACAGCACCGGCCCGGCCCCGGCGGCTGCGGAGGAACGTGTCAGCGCTGCGGGGACCTTCGCTCGCTCTGCCTCAGCCTCAAGGACCCGGAGCGCGGAGAACGGCGGTCCCTCCTCCTCCTCCTCCCCCCTCTGGGCCGGGCTTGTCCCCCCCGGGCCACCCCACCTGCCCCGCTGAAGGAAACTGGAGAGTCTTCAAAGAGCACCAAGACAATGGCTGCAAAAACAGTCCCACCCGGGCCCCCCGCAGCACCGGCACCGCCAGCCCCGGCAGAACAGGCCAAGCTCAACAGAGCCGCCTCCGGTGCAGGACAGCCCCGTCCCACCTGCGCCAAACCCAACACGACCACCCCCGGAGCTGAGCCACTCCCACCCGAGCCAAACCCGGGCTGGCCCAGCCACCCCAGCACGGCACAGCCCCACCAAGCCCGGCAGCACCGGTCCCACCAGCACCAGAGCCAGCCCAGCCCAACCGCCCCAGCAGCCCCGGGCCCTGTCAGAGCTGCCCCCAGCACAGAGGAACGGGCAGGGGGCAGCCTGGGGAGCGGGCATCAGCCAGGTGGAGCGGACACCTGAGCATCCACCGGGCCTGGCACCCTGACCCCGCTGACAGGGATTCCCCCAG